ATTGAAGATTCAAATTAGATTTCACCTGATGTGAGATTTAATTTTAGATTTAATTTAAAGAAGTTTTGATTGAGCCTGGTGGGTGGGACGTGAGCTGCAGAGAACGCCCCAGTAGGCGTCTGTGTCTTTAGATATAATGACACCTTTATTAAATGAACAAAGCCTTGTGTAACTGGAGATGACACCTGCTGCAGGAAAAGTTCTGAAGACAGACGTGAGCGTTACCTCTGTGACTAGGCAGCGTGTCCTTTAGGTCCCTGACACGGGAATCTGACACAGGTCTGTGTGAATTAATGAACCTGAGAAGACAAAGCAATGTGAAGGGCACAAAACCTTCAGGTCAGAGTCAGCACAAAACATAATAAAGGAGTCTGTCAGCTATAGCTGTGAAACGCCTTCAGCTGGTTAAAGAAAGTGCAGCCACTGTACCTGTATGTGATCCCGGCTGGAAACATCATGTCCTCAAATAATGCTTCAGTTTAATTAAGTCTTGTGCAACCAAGAGGAGCCTGCTGCTGCTGCGCGAGAGGCGCCACGTGTCTGGGTTAGGGTTAACCCAGACGGCCAAGCTGTTGGTTCTAAATGCTGCAGAACACTGGGCATAACCTGGAGACAAACTTCATTCCTCCTCCTGCATCAGTGGACACCCCCAGGGTGGACTGTCCCCACCACTGCTCCCCACTGGCAGTTTCAAGTGAGGTAAAATGGCGGGTCAGCTGTTTTGGACACATGCAAAGCCTGAACATTAGACAGTAGCTATGTTTGTCCAGGTTTACCACCTAGAGTCTCTGGCCACTTCGTGTTTGGTAACTCTTTCAGAAAGTCAGCTCTTTGTCGTGATCTGTTGCCTCCCAATAACACACACGAGATGCAAAGCAGCTCCTTCACTGACAAGCTAGCGGTTAGCCATTTGCTCCTGGAGCACCACTCCACGTCAAACCTGCGACTATTTTCACCAGGTCTGGTTGAGAACAACATCCTGGGGCCGGTGACACTGGTTGGATTTCAGCAGCTGCTCTCCTCTTTAGAAGTTGTGCCAGCGACGAGCAGATGACCACAGCCCCGCCCCCCCCCCCCGCCACTGAACTTGTGGCAGCTGCTTTCACTACCAAACACTCCAGGAACATGTGCTGTTGTGCTGCCGCTCAATGCACTGGACTTTGTGAGACAGAGGCCTCTGCAGCCAAGAGCACTTAGCCACAGCTTCTCTATCAGACACTGAGCTGAAAGTGTGGAATGACAAATGACAGCAGAGGATTTTGATGTCAGGAAGTTATCCAGAATCTGCAGCCACAGTTTGGCTGAGGTCAGGGAGAGACTGGAATCGGTTAGTAAAAAGGCAAAGGGTCATTTTACCTTAGGTCCCTTCTCCCAGGCGTCAGCAGCGGCCTCATCAGTTCAGCGTGTTTCCACGTTTCACCAGGAGCCTCACAGTCGCCGCCCCGTCATCCAGCCTGTTTTATAAAGAACAATAATAATGACCACCAAGGGCCGAGCACAGACACAGAGAATATGAAGTCATAAAGTGGAGCCTGAAACACAGGTGAACTGTGCTGGAACATTCCAACTAACACTTTAAGGCTCAGACTGCTGCTGCATTAATGACTCTGTCTCCATGGCCTGACATAGTCTGAGCTTCTTCAGCGTGAAGCTCCTGCGTGCAGGTCCATGCAGCTTTCCCCTGGCTGACTGGATAATCAGCCTGCCCTCTGTCGTCAGTGAGTCACACATTCTTCACACATGTCCTCCTGCTGGTTCGGACAAAAGGGAAAATGACTGTGTCTTGATTTGGAGTGCTGTTTACCCGAGTGTTGCCCTCGGGCCTGACTGTCCTCAGAGCTGGCACTGATTCCTCTCTAATGGGGGTGGGTGTGATTCATTTCATTCCATGGCACCATAATTGTCCCCTGCTAACGTTGAACAATCACTGATGCATCCTCTGACTTCACCTCATTAATCAGTGTTAATTGTAATTGCCTTTTCTAGTGGCTGCTGTAATTGAATTAGTGCCAAGGTAGGAGAGGTCAGTGTTGCAGCGAGCTCAGGTTTGTGCTGCTGAGAAACAGAAAGAGAGACGCACAGAGAGAGGACAGTAATCAGACGGAGTGCTGGGAAATTGGAAAGAAAGAGTGGACGAGTGGAGGGCGTGCAGCAGGGAGGATGACGAGAGGGAAAATCATGACAGACTAATCCTGGAGCTGTCGCAGCCTTTGCTGATCATTGTGTTGTGAAAGTGATTTCCCAGCAGACTGCATCTGGTTTGGCCTGTCACACATTCTCCACTTCATTTCCACACAGGAACATTCTTCTCTGTAGCAAATAAAAACTGTCCTCCTCTTTATGAATTTCATCCACGATATTGTAATTATATATTCAGCCATTTTCAGTCTCCTTTTTAAAACTACACAAATTAGATGCAAAGCGGTGCCTTTGCTCAGGCTGTTATCTCAAACGCCTCTTGTGTCTTGTGATGTAAGGCTGATTGTTTTAGAGCCAAACCAGCACGGCTCTAAAAACTCCTCCAGTATTCGTGTTTGAAATCTGGCAGCAGCTGACGCTGCGCCGCAGGCTGCGATTTCAAGCCGTATGTGCAGAAACCATCTATAAAGTGCACTGAATCATAATGAACCTGATCTCTGGTGCCAGTCGGCTGCTCTGAGTGCAGCTGGTTATTAAAGGAGTGAGATATCCAGCAGAGATGTTCGGTGAGGGAGACGGAACGTTCTGATCAATACTGATCATCGGAGGCGATCTGCATCAATACAACACAGCAACTGCTTCACACTGAGAGCACGATTCTCACATGTTGTGGTGAAGTGAAATGTTCAGATCATTTTGGCTTGGAGAGAAAGAATAGTTCCAGGTTTACTATGATGTCTTTAAATAAGTTTAAAGAAGTGGTGAAGTGAATCATCACTTCTCTGTTTCTCTGCACATTTTCAGTTTTCTGCATGAAAACATCAGAGGAAACAATGGAAATGTAAAAGATTTGAAATCTATTTCAGCTGCTTAGCACCGACCCCATCGCCATGATTTCCATGACGGAGTGAGCTGAGAACACGAGGCCTGTCGCCAATGTGGGTGTGCAGCTTTTAACTGACACTCAAAACAAGTTTGATAAACAGAACCAGCTTTATAAAACTGAAACTCATTAACAGGTTTGTTTGCAACGTGACCTCATTTCTCAGTCTTCTCCTACAAACAGCAACATGTCAGCAAATGATTAAGTACAGTTGTTTACAGTTTACTTATCAACTGAGGCAAAACTGTGGAGAAACACTGCATCGCAAAGAAATCCATCCAATACTAATAACCTCTTACTGCTCAGAGAGAACAGACAGACGCTGAGACGCCTCCTGATCTCAGGCTGTCATCGCTCTGTAAATCCAGGTGAGACCCCTCCACCCACTTCCCCTCCCTGCCACCGGGTCTCCGTCCCCTATAGCTCTTACTTTCACTGCTGTGTGACAAATCATCCCATGATGAGATTCATATTTTGTGTCACAGGAGGTCAGCTGGTCGCTCTAGTCCTTCCTCCAGGCTGAAGAGTGTCATTGCAAACACTCTGAAGTCCTGGTGAGCCCAGATGACACCAAGGGGGGCTCCTGCCACTGAAAAGAGGGGAGAGGAGGTGGAGAGGGTGTCCAGCTCAATGAGGACCTCATGTGGACTGTTAACTCTGCTGGTTAAAAAAGCTCAGCAGAGACTTGACTTCCTGACTAACCCTAACCCTGAAGAAGGCCCATCTCTCTGCTGGAGTCTCTCTACCAGCATATTGGTGTGGGAGCTGCTCCACGTGAGACCCCTCCACCCACTTCCCCTCCCTGCCACCGGGTCTCCGTCCCCTATAGCTCTTACTTTCACTGCTGTGTGACAAATCATCCCATGATGAGATTCATATTTTGTGTCACAGGAGGTCAGCTGGTCGCTCTAGTCCTTCCTCCAGGCTGAAGAGTGTCATTGCAAACACTCTGAAGTCCTGGTGAGCCCAGATGACACCAAGGGGGGCTCCTGCCACTGAAAAGAGGGGAGAGGAGGTGGAGAGGGTGTCCAGCTCAATGAGGACCTCATGTGGACTGTTAACTCTGCTGGTTAAAAAAGCTCAGCAGAGACTTGACTTCCTGACTAACCCTAACCCTGAAGAAGGCCCATCTCTCTGCTGGAGTCTCTCTACTAGCATTCTAGCATATTGGTGTGGGAGCTGCTCCATGGTGATACACAGAAGGACAGACAAACTGAAAGAAAGCTAAAGAGACAGACACACGGATGGACAGCTCCTTCCTGCAGATGTGACATAATGAGGTGGCTGCTCGCTGCCCCCTGCCCCAGGCTGCTGGTTGGATGCTCCCGTCATCCAGTTTATTAGGAGGAGGGAGAGTCCTCTGCCTGGTCCGGCTCAACACGCCCTCGTTTACATACTGCACACTGAAGTACAGTCACCCTTCCATTTCATGCTCTTTTGATACAAGATGTCTGAAAATGAACGACTGGCCGCAGGTTGTGTACGTCTGTCACGCTCCCAGTCAAAAGCTACAGAGAAGAATTAGCCTGAGTCCTGGTGACGAACATGTGATTCATGGTCCACAGAGAAAAACTGGACTTAGAAATGTGTCAGACGTTTAAAGGCATCACAAACAGTAAACACCACATGAACTACATGCCAAACATCTCCAAAGACATTCAGAACGTTTACTCTTGATATTAAAGTATATTTTGGTACTAACACTCTGGTACTTTTACTTAAGTAACATCTTGAATGCAGGATACATGTAGCTGAGTATTGTACATGGTGTGTTACTACATCTACTGTAGTAAAGAGTCCGAGGATTTAATGTATTTGGCGTCTGTCGCTTTGCATCACCCCCAGTCATCACGCAGGGTCCGTGCATGCGCGCGCGTGTGTTTCCTGTTGGACAACCAGGTGAGAGGAAAGTAACAGGGAAGGGAAGGGAGAGAGAAAGAGCGAGAGAGAGAGAGACGCTCGGTGACACAGTGCCGGTGCCTCCGGTGCTGACACGCGCCTTCAGTGTGTCCATGTGTGTGTGCTGGAGGAGGAGGGGACGGTTTCTAGGTTTTCCTCCGTGATCGCTGCACTGGGTTTTCTGCTGAAGGAGACACGAGCGGACGCACGAGCAGCTGGAGTGGATTAAGAGCAATATCACGCGCGTCATTACGCATCAGGCTGCTCCGCCGTGGACTACATCCGTTTAACTAGCCCACGGAGAGAGCACTGTTACCACTACTAACACTGATTAGAGGCTTACAGGGAGGGGGAGGAGAGCGGGTGACACGGTGTGACACGGTCCTCACGGTCACACGCCGAGCACAGGGGAAAGTTGGAGTAACGTGGGCGGACGGTGGGAGAGGGAGCGCCAGGATTTTCCGTGTAACCCGCACCTGGACCGACCTCTCCGGATACACCGTGGATGCTCCGACGCGCGCAGCCTCGCCGGAATATGCGGACCTTCACGGACTCTGTGAACACTTCTCCCGCCTCCTCCGTGCTGGTCTGAGTCTGCGGAGCGGGGTCCAGGCTCCCAGACAACACCGTCTCCAGGGGCTTTTGCTCGGTCCACCATGTCGGCGACAGTTTCACTGGTTTCCAGCGTAGAAAGAGAGAGAGTGTGAGTGAGAGACACCGAGAGGGCGAGAGAGACGTGGTGAAGGGGACCGGGCAGCGCGGGAGACCGAGCCTGTATTCATGTCTTGTGGGATTACTGCTGGACGCGACATGATCCTGATTAATATCATCACTTTGGTGTTTGTGTTGGGTGAGTATTCCCTCAGCATCTACAACAGACAGACATGCGCGCACACACGCACAATGCATGCGCATTCACAGGTGGGGGCAAAGGGTCCAGAGGCTCTTTGGTATGAACAGATCCTACTGGTTCTCCGGGATCATTAACTATCACCACCGTCCACCGTTTCTCCGTGAACCCCCTCAGCCTGGTCCCCCTCTGGGATTCGGCTAAAGGTGCACGACTCTATCTGCGGGCAGCGGTGGACGAGGTGCTCTGCTCCTCTAGCCCAGTAAAATTAACACCAGCGGTGGAAGAGGTGCTCTGCTCCTCTAGCCCAGTAAAATTAACACCAGCGGTGGAATGGAACTAAATACATTGTGTGTTTACTTGGGTCGATCCAGTGGAAACACCAGGTTCACATTCATATTATTTAACATTATTATTGGTGAAGATAAGACTTGATCGATCCACAAACTACTCATTAATTAAGGAAATAATGAAAGTACCCCCCCACCTTTAGGAGCTGCAACACAATGACATGCATCCATAATTATGATTCAGTCAAATACTGAATCTGAAATGTGTCACTCTGCTTAGTGAGTACTTTTAAGTCAACGTTAATGCAGGACCACAGTATTTCCACACTGTGAGATCACCTGTACAGTGTTTGTTCTGTTGTCATCAACTGACTGTGGATGTACACCTCAGTGTGGCACTGAGGGTCCGATGTCCCTGTCTCTACAGGGAGCACTGGCTTGTTCCTCACTCTGTCCACAGGGCTGTTTTATGGAGGAGGCTCAGAAACGCAGCTGTTACGGAGAAAAGCCTGTCTTCACCTGGTCTAACAAACTGATCCAGGATCACATGGTTTCATAAAGCCAGCATGCAGCTGATGCCAGCAGCCTGAGACATCGAGCACTGACCACATCGTGTCAAAACGCCACAGCAAAAACAAACAAACGCCTGCAGTTAAAGCACAAAGCGCTGCACTCCAGTCAGCTCAGGCTGCTGTGTGCTCTGGCATCAACTTGCCTGGTAGAATATGTACTGAAAATGCTCCATGTGGACGGACAATGATGCAACCTGCAGTTTAACAGCTATACAATTTTAAAAATCACCAGTCTGGACATACAGCAGGCAGGGACGTGAGGAACCCTTTTTATTTACTGGGTTTAATGTAGCTGAGCCTATAAAAGAATGGAATCTGCTTTGAAAATACCCCCCGGTGGATAAGAACTCCCCCGTGTCCTAACGTTCCCAAATCCAGGCAACATGGCACCAGCTGGCCCTGCTCTGCTCAGCGCTGTCAGCTGCAGACAGGTCCAGGTTCACATCAGACCCGGTAAAGGCTCTTATCTCCCTGTGACGCTTGGTTAATTGGATTCCACCTGCGTGTTGTTGTCCCTGCTGTGATGGGAGCTGTTAGGCAGCTAAAGGCCAACGTCAGAGCCAGAGACTGCAGATGAGTCAGGGCCGTCTGTAACATCGGGGCCCGTGGGGTCCCTGAGCACGTCAGTCCCTTCACAGTGAAAATGGCTCAGTGACATTTAACGTTATTGGGCTTTTGGTCTGTGTCTAGTACATCTACATGTGTCCTAGTGTCCTCGATATGAGCCTTCCTCATGTTCTGAACTTCACTTTATACATGAGCACTTCATTAATGCATCACATTTCATCTTCACATCAGTGTCTGATTCCACTTTTGGATGTAACCATGTTTCATGAGCCAATGTTCATCTGTTTCTCCACATTTCTACACAGCACACACTCATTTACAGCTGATGAATAAATCATATCACCTGCTGGTTTCCTGAAACGTCTCATGTAGAGTCCTGCTGCGCTCAACAGAGGGCGTTGGCTCTGTGTTTTTCATCCTCAGCACTGTTTACGACCAGCAGCAGCTCTGCAGAGGCGTGGCTCACCTGCACAGTGGCACACAAACCGATGTAAAACCAGAGAAGAAGTGGCCATTGAAATCCAGCACGTGGCTGAATCAGTCTCTATAATAACAATATTTGAAACTGTCATTTTCTTTTCTCTATACTGTACATGTGACCTCTAGGTAATAGTATTCAGAAATAGGTGTTCATGTTCGTTGCTATGCTGATGATGCTCACTTATATTTCCTGGTTTAATGCATAAAGGGCCTGTGAATGATGATGATGATGATGATAATGGGCTGTCATGTGTACAGGGTATATTGCCTGATTGGCCAGTTTTCTGCCAGTGGTGATATCTGCTGACACTGACAGGTCAGGTTGGTGTCACCGTGTGTCATGAACAGGCTCAAAAGGAAAAAGAAAAGTGAGACTTGAGATGAACCCCAGTTCCCTTATTTTATCCTTCCTTGTTCTTCTGGTCCACCGTGACGAAGGACGTCCCACAGCTCTGATTTCTGTTCTGAGGAGCAGCTATAACAAGGATAAATGAGCTTGTGATTGGATGGGATTGGAGAAGAGGACATCCTAATCCAGTTAAAGGGTTTGCCCTTGCACCTTCACTTGCCTCTTACATGGGTGGGAAAAGACACAAGTGAGGGAAACGTGGATTTGGGATTCACCTTCAGAGTAAAGTTGTCAAAGTTAATTGGACTTTTCAAAAAGGCTCAGTACTCATTCTGAGATCAGGTGGTGCTACTCCGCGACTCTGTGGCAGCTAGCGCTAATGTTAGCATGGCGCCTCCAGTGAGTGCCAGTGGAAATACAACTTCACAGCAGGAGGATTCTCAGGCAGGTTCTGCAGCCTGTTTTCCTCGGGTGTCCAAGAGGGTTTATGGAGGTTAGTTCTGCATGGACACCAGAGATGAGGAGATCCTCAGGCGGAGGACGTCGCACTGAGTCAGATCAACACACGTTTCAACTAAGTGTGTTGACATTTCACTGAGGCAGGACTCTGACAAGCAGAAGGACCAGTTCTCACTCCGATTCACCTCACGCAGCATCTTCACCCACCCTCCAACCCTCCCGCTCCCCTCTGGAGACTCTGGGCGCTCTCATTTATCTTTGTCAGAAGAGACCCTTCTGGGACATTGTGGGATAATGCCCTGTGTGGTACGAGCCCAAGGCTGCTAAACCCCCAAAGATCTCAGGAAATAGTCAGAAGACATGACTCACTGTTCTTGGCTGATAAATGTCAACAGCTTTGCACATGGTTACCCTGTTTCCAGATGTGTGCTCACACTGACTGGATATGTTCATCTCACCTTGTGCTGGGTGGCAGAGTGTGACGGTGCGGCTCTGATACGTGTCCATTCAGTTTGACTGCCCGTTGGTCTCTCCCATCGAGACAGACAGTGGGCGTCTAGAGAAACCAAGTGGAAAACAGAAGTTTGTGTGATGTGACAGTGACAGAGCTTCATCATGTTTTACAACAGAGATTCAGTTTACAAAATGCCAGCCTGACCTGTTCTATTCCTCCCTTAAAATGACTGACACATTTAGTTGTCAGAGGTTTAAATGTGTATTACAAAACACACAGGTCACTGAATTGCTGCCAAACGTGTGTGTTCAGTACTGAATAGACTCTAGACTTCATTATGTACTGTACTTACAGGGAAACAGCATATTCAGTAAATAAAGCAAACATCATTTTTACTCTACATCCTTTCAAGTACTCCTGCAGAAATTACAGATATTTTCTTGGTTTGTGTTTGTGTAGCTGGGATGACACGGCCACAGGAGATGCTGTTCTGGTGAGAATTAGCTGCTGTTTGGCCGTGTACTGGACATGGACTCCTCTTCCCAGCTCTGCCTTTTAGCACTTTATTGTCAGGCACTGACATCAACATAACCTCGCTGCTACTGTAGACAAACAATTCATTCATTGTGTGTCTCCTACATACAGTAGATATTGTGCATTGTGTACCAATTCCACACTGCAGCATAATCGCTCTACAACACAACTTTAGAAATTGTAGGAGAAAGAGAAAAGATGACACTGGACATGTTGAACCTGCACAAACCTCCACACTTCTACTACAGTAACACGTGGTGATAGTCAGTATAAATCACAGTAGAGACTCTCACACAGACCAGAACTTGGCCACAAACACTAATCGAGCCTTATTAGCGGTGTGGTCCCTCATTCCTCTTTGCCTTCCTCCACTCCTTCCCCTGCAGATGTGTGTGTCAGTGACTCGGAGCTGGGCCCCCCCGGGTGGAGGGAACCTCTGGACTGTGTCCGAGCCTCCGAACTGTGCAACCAAAACAGTCAGTGCAGCTCACGTTACCGGATCATGCGCCAGTGCCTGTCTGGTGGGGACAAAGAGCGCAGCACCATGCTGGCCTCCAAAGAGTGCCAGGGGGCGCTGGAGGTGCTGCAGGACTCGCCGCTGTACGACTGCCGCTGCAAGAGAGGCATGAAGAAGGAGCTGCAGTGCCTGCAGAACTACTGGAGCATCCACATGGGTCTGACTGAGGGTAAGCTGTGTCCACAGTTAATGAAGCCTCTTGCTGCCTGTTGATTTCTCCTCATGTCTCAGCTGTGTGCTGGCCGATGACCAGATTTCTGTGTCCCGCTCCTTGTCCCCTGGTGTGGCCTCTCTGCTTTCCTGTGTCTATGTCCTGGTGAAGGCCACAGCCCAGATACTGGTCCCATTCAAAGCCTCTACTGGTCCCTGGCTATGACGTGTCTGTAGGCTTTTTACAGATGTGAACACTGGGGCCTTCATACAGATACCATACATCACTACATGTTAATAAACATCAGAGAATTCAGAGACAGACAGACACGTGCATGTGGGGCGGCCTGTTGGTTGGCCTAGTTTGGATTCAGCCGTCACAGAGCTCGTTAAGACCCCCTTTGTTCCCCATGCCACTAAGGATGTGTCTGTAGTGCTCACCAAGCTCCTGCATCGTGCACACACATAGGCACACACACACACACAGATGACATATGCACACACTTGGTGGCCACACACAGGACGGACGTTTAGGTCAAAGACAAAGCTACAATGTTAAAAAAACACAAGCATATTAACAGACATCTGTAGCACTCAGTGTGGTCAGCAGCAGAACGGACGTTGGTGTGTGAGAGACAAAGCTACAATGTTAAAAAAACACGATTATATTAACAGACATCTGTAGCAGCGGATGTTGGTGTGTCAGTGCTGTGGTGTGTGAGTGTGTGTGTGCTGCACTTGTTGCCACAGAGGATCCCAGTGATTAGACAGGACTTGGTTTGTTGGACGTTCTTAGAACGTTTAAAGCAGATCTTCTTCCCTTCTTCCCTTCTTCCCTTCTTCCCTTCTGCCTCGTCGCCTGTTCACAGCAGGACACTGGGTGAAGACGTTTACTAAGGCAACGTAAACATTATGTGAATAATTAAAACCTTTTTCCTCCAGGATTTAAGAAAAATACAGAAAGGAGGAAACTCATCTAATGACAAACAGGTCACATCAGGAGGTTTTATTTCTAAGCATTTCATAATCGTGTTGACTATTTGTTATTGCTGCTGTCGTTGTTGTTGTTGTTGTTGTTGTTGTTGTTGTTGTTGTCAGGCTGAGTTGAGTTAGATCAGTCCAGTCAGGTTGGATCCAGGTGAGTCAGATCGAGTTGTGGATCCAGGTTTGTAGCACTGAACGGTGTCAGCAGCAAACACATGGCCTGAACAGGAAACCCGATTCCACCTGTGCTGCGTTAAGCTGAACTTCGTCACACAGCACTGGGTCTAAACACTAAGGTGGTAACATTTCCATTTATATGGCTGTAGGTTAGTCAGGAGACATAAAAGCTGTGTAGGAGGCAGAAGGTGAGAGCGTTGGTTAGTGCGAACATCTGGCTGTTTCCTGGAGGCACTATGCACCAGTGTAGACCAGTTACAAGTCACACATCTGGACAATTTTCCCCATTCTCCTCTGCACAGCTGCACCGGGTTCAGCCCTACGTGTAGGCCCTGTCAGGAATATCTGATGGACACCTGAGGCTATAACTGCAGTCCACCGGCTGTCTCGGCCATGTTAGAAGAAGAGACGCTCTGTGCTAAAGCGGTCGAACTGGGCGGCTACACTTTAACAGGGAGATGAATTAGAGCTCGGTCATTTCTAAAGCAATGTTTCCGGTGGACCAGCAGAAGGTCGAGGTAATGAGCGTTGTAGTGGGCAGACTTTCAAGAGCCCAGGTAAAGAGCTTCATGCTGCACAAGGCCTTGAGTCACTATAGTCTTAAAACGAATGTTTGGAACATGGCAGCCATCTGCATGCAGGCAGCACAAAGCAGCTTGATTTCTCTGTTGCACAGTTAATTACATCGCAGGTGATGTTATACAGCACAGCCTGGTAGAAGCGGCGCTCTTTAGGTTTCATTTCCAGCTATATTTATTCTTTCATTTCACAACAAACCAAAGAGTTTTTCTTGCAGTGCTTTTCTCCTGTGTCCCATTCATGCATGAATATTTAACAAAGCTGAAGAGGATTTGTTGGCTTTCCAGCTTAAAACTTAAAATTGAACCCTAACGGGAAAAAACAGGTGAGACTGAAGTAATTCAGAAGTTTCTCTGTGCCCAAGGTTAAGGATTTGTTCAAGCACAGCAGATGGAAACAGCACAGAGTCTGGATTTAGAGGAAGGATTAAAAATGCAGGAAGCGTCCTGTCAATGGCCAGAAAGCAGAACAAAGCAGGAGAAGTATTTTCATTATTAGAACAATCATTTTAAAAAGCATTTAACGTCTCGCCTGCCACATGTAAGCCATTAAGATAAAGTTATGAAACTTAAAAAATGAAAAACTCTGTGCTGAGGAAGAAAAACAGTTCATGTCTCATTAAGCTCATTAGCCTGAAATGTCTTCAAATAAAAGTCACAGGAGGGGCACAATAAATAAAGACAATAAAAAACTAAACATCACTATTATTAAAGTTTAAAGCCTTTGTCATTATTCTGAAGTACAGTTAGCTGTGTAGGAATAAAACCAACCCTCTGGCAGAGGTGTGTGACGTTACAGCAGCGGCAGAGTCACCGTGAACCGAGCTTGGTGACTGGGGGAGCCAAGGCTCGTGGACCAGCAGTCAGCCAGCAAAACAAAACCTCATCCGCTGTTTCAGTCTGCTGAAAAACTGAAAAGTGCCAGGAAAACACGGGAATCTTCCTTCCTGCCCACAGTACTCGGATTCTGGTTGAGTCTTTTCATATTATGCTGCGTTTCACTTTGTTACCTGACAGCTGGTGTTACTGGCAGGGACGGATCACTGACGGGGCACGGGCGCAGGGCCCTGAGGGTTCAGGGGGCCCCAGACCAGAGAACCATGAAGGGGCTGTTAACCTTTTTATTGCAAAGCCAATCAAATGACAACAGAATGAGGAATAGGTGTAAAACAATTACAAAGAGACATGACTAAAAATATGCTAAATGACAAAAAGAGACACAAAACTACAAAATGATGCAAAACCACGAAAAACATCGACAGAAAACCAGAAAGACTGTGTGAAATGACCAGACGGAGGCACAGACCTGCTCCAGTGCAGCTGTTTCTAAATAAGTGACTGCGTCTGTATTTTTCATAATGAAGGATCACGTCATGTGACGCCCGGGGGCTCGGCGGTGCAGACAAAGCCCATGTTTAGATACACAGAGCTGGGTGGGAGACTCACTGTTTGGTCTCTTATATGTAAAACGAGGCTGATCTACTAATAATGTCTGATGCTTGTCACATACATTCACACTGAGGAATCTAACCTTCACACCTTCAACACTCTCAGTATTCATCTACACTGTGGAGAATAAGATGGAGTGTCCACAGGTTTTCTGTCTCCTCCACTAAAAACTGAATATTTCCTCCACCACTGTTTCTGCGTGTCTCTCCTCCAGTAGCAACGCTGGAACAATGTAACGATCACCTGACAACTCATTGAACTTAATAGCTGCTTTCATTATGGGATATATTTAAAATATTACTTTTCATTTCAACACAGAGCGACATCAGGGCGACCAGTCTGCAGCCACACTGGCCTGTATTCATTGGTCCCTGTAGCTACAGCAGCTGATTAGCATCCTGCTAAATACAGACGTCCAGCTGCAGTGGACACAGCGACTTTAATGTTAAGACCAAGGCGTTTCAGCCTTCATCGGCGTCTGCTGAAAGCTTGTAACAAAGAGCCGTTTAAGCAGCACAGATATCAGGAACATACTCAAAACAACCAATCACGTACAAACACATGCATGTCAGCCAATCAGAAACATGTGCAGTGGTTATATGGTCATGTGGTTGCAACCCAGTCACACTGTCAAAGTGGTAGAGAGGCAAACTTCAGTGGCTTTATTTCTGCTTGATCTACATTATAAACACTTCTTAATTGCTCTTACGCTGCTGATAAATGCTGAATGGCTGGGTGGTTAAGATAATGTGTTTCTAATGTTTCTGACAGCAGACTAATCTGCTCAGGTCTCTGCAGTGGGTCCTGGAAACGGAGCGAGGCTGCGGGCTATTTAACAGAAACGAGAGGCTGAGGAAGCCGTTTGTGTGAACAAGAGCGGGGGTCAGTGCCGAGACAAGCCTGGTGTCCAGGGAGTTGGTTCAACGTACGGTGACAGAAGCACAGAGATGAGATCAGACAGACAGGATCAGTCCTCCAGTTATCGGTGTTCTCTATCAGTTATCCTCCGTTAATGTCTCCTGACTTTGTGTCTGTTCATTAAAGCACATGGACAGAATCTCCCACTGGGGTTAATCCAGTCTCTTCCTGTCCTTCTCGGTGCTATTAGGTGTCATGTCTGGTTTCAGCTCTGTCTGGAAAAGGTTTGGTTGTAAACTTGACAGCTTGTTTGGCAGCAGAAACAGTAAAAAGGTCAGTGAATCACTGTCTGACTCTCTGATTGCAGCCCACCGACGTGCCGCTGAACACATCTGAGCAGAAACACTGAGATCTGGTTCTTGATCGTCCCACAAAGATCCATCACTTTGCCACTGATGTGTGATGTTTGCCTGGTGTGTGGTGCCATGTTTGTTGTTTGCCGGTCCATTAAACTGTGCTCCAGAATGGCAATCATTACCCTATTAAGTGTTAGTGTGCGTGTCTGCTTCCAGCACAAACAGAGACACATGCAGGGACAACAGACTGACACAGAAGAAGAAATCCATTTAAAGCAAAGCCAGACATATAACAGAGAGCAGAACACACTGTACACATCATTAAGAAATGAAAATACTTATGTAAACGTTGTGCAGGCGCCACAGGGCCACAGACCTGACGTGGCCTCACACGCCACAAGCATTAGATGTTACAGACTGAAGCCATTTTACTGAGGTTTGGTTCCTGTTTCTCGTGGGCAGATGGCCACTTCAAGTCCCTTGTGTCTGGAAGGAATCCAGATGTGCTCTCCCACCAGTGTTTCCAGATTTGACTGACAGACAGTAGTCGAGTCAGAGCCCAGAACCAGCCCAGTCTAGAATTTTAGTTTTCATGTAGGAGTTTTTTAGTCCAGATA